TTTTTTTTTTTTTTTTTTTTTTTTTTTTTTTGTTGTTGTTCTGGTTTATTTTTGGAGCACGCAGCCTGAACTTACCAGTTTTGGGGACATCGAAAGTGCGATTATTTAATTGCTAATTTATCCCAAGAACTGTAGTTGCCTTGGAGAAAATGTTTTACATGTCTGACTTGAGCGTACAAGATGTTTATGTTTTTCAGTTTAGTTAATGTAATTTTGGTAAGAATAGGGAAGAAATTGTTCACGTTTGGAACGTTGTGTATATGTAAATGATGCTTCAAGAACGGTAGCCGTTGGATTTATTTTTAACCTTTAACTGAAACTTAGAAAATTTATTCGGAAAATTTTTGAATATTTTTTTATTCAGCTGTATTACATTGTTTCCTGATGTTTTGGCGGTACGTGTTGATTGACTTCTACTGCCTTTTGAAAGTAAAGTCTTTATGCAGTTTTGTGGTTTGCAAAAGTTTGTTCTTGAAGATGCTCAATCGCTTAACGGAATCACGTAGTTTACATGTCTTTATCTCAGTCGTGAGCTGATGCTGTGATTGTGTGGAAGCATGAGAAGGTTTCTGACTCATTTGTACAGTTGGAAGTTGCAAAAGGATGGCACTGGGACTCCTGGGGCTGAGATGTCTCCATAAGATTGTATAAGCAACGTGTTGCCGTAAGAAGTTGATTATAAGATGAGAATTAGACACTGTTGACAGTAACTGACAGTAAGTTCGCTGTAAAGTTTTTTTGTATTTTTAACTCGCTGTTTTATTTTATGGTTTGTTTTACTTGATGGGTTTGTGGCGTAGTTTCTACTTTCCAGTTACGTGTAACTTCGTGTTCGCGTGCTTCCAAGGGCATTTGTTTCCTGAGCTTGAAAAATTTTTAGTTATTTTGACTATGCACTGTTACAAGTCGTAATACTCAGGAGCACGGTTGTCAGAGATGATATTTTTGTGAACTGTTCTGATCATGTAAACACTGAGTTTATATTTAAGTTTTTAGAAATGTCTTGGACTTTTTCACCGATAGCCTGGTTGCACTGATCTTTTACTGCAGTCTTAGTAAATTCTGAATGTTTTTTTCCTACGAAGAAAACATGCAACGAGGAAGTTATGGAGAATAAATTTGTAGTTTAATCGTCATCGCTTTCTTAGAAGCCCTAAAACACTAAGATAGAGAGCTACTTTTCTTCAGTCTCACGTGAAGGAAGTTGACAAGCCTTCCATTAGAATATGCCTAGGCTGACTGTTTGCTTTTATGTTTAATTTGTTACGAATTCGAAAGGATGTGAAACTTTTTTTTTTGTTCAGATAGGTAATATCCATAAGCGTTTTGAAGACAAAGAGTGATTTGTACTAATTGATGTTGAAAGTTTTCACTATCAGTTGTTGTGCATGCTGAAAAACAATAGAAGTTTATTGATTTGCCATTATACCTGACTGCTCAAAAAATTGCCATTTAGTAATTTGGGTAATTGACTTATGGTTAAATTTTTTAAAGTGATATAATTTTTTTTGTTTAAAAACGAGATTTTAGTGTGTTTCAAATTGGAAATTTATTTTGAGTGCATCTGTAATGTTTGGTTGAAATAATATGTATGTTGTACGCTATTCAATACTGTTGTTATCATTATTAATACTATTAAAACAGTGTAATAGAAATTATCGCAAAAAATAACCAATAATCACTGCTATTGTTGCTGCTGCTGTTGCTGCTGCTGCTGCTCTCATATTCAGTTGCTTGGATATTTGGTTTGGTTTTATCGTCATCAGAAACTGGCCCAAATCGGTAAACAATTTTTGCCATCAACAATAACAACAACAAAGGGCCAACCATTAATTTGTTGAGAGGAAGTGCAGGGGGGTGGGAAAAAAAAAGAGATAGAAGGGTGCATAAAATAAGTGAACTCTATGTAAAGAGTAAAAATATGGGTCAAATGGCAGTTATTGATGATGAAAAAGAAACAGTCAGGAAGCACCCCCCTCCCATACCCCCAAAAATTAAAGACACCCGAAAACAGCGAGAAACCTTGAAAATGGATAATCTGATGATACCTACCGGCAAAGTCGACGGCACTTGCAAAAGAGAAAAAAAGGCTCATCAGTTTTCTTATTAATGGTTGTAAGCACTAATTGTTGAAACAGAAATCGGTTACTGCATAGCATTTGTATGAATAAATTTTCCAGTTGCTTTAACCGTACACTGCCGAAATACAAAATGAGAGCACAGTATTTTGAATGGTTTATTCTCCTAAATATCAAATTTAGAAACTGAAATTTTGTAGATGGAGGGAAACAACGAAGGCAACTGATTATTTGTTATCTTCAAACTTGTTTACCCTAATCAGCACACTAAGAACAAACTAAATGGTTTAGCTGATCAAAGCTTTAGTATGGGTTCTGAAATAAATTTTGTTTTTTAAACTGGTGATTTTTGCTGATAACCCAAAATATATTTAATGAGTAGCTCTATTACGCAAAATTTTCTTTAATTATTATTTGTCAAAAAAAAACTTTTCCGTCTACATTTTTTTCCAAACTTTTGATCCGCTACTTAATGTTTCCTTACAGTTCTGCAGGAAGAAAAAATTGAAACAGTGAAAAAGTAACCTTTTTATCTTTCAATTTTTCTATATGTTCACATGACTTTTTTTTTTTTTTTCGGAACCATTTTGCTGGAATAATGTTGATAATCAAGTTCAAAAATCTTTGGTAAATGAATACAGCAAAACCAAAAATGAAACAATTTTGTTCGTGTTTTTTTCTAAAATCTTTCATCTTCTTTTTCTTCTTTTATTTTATATAATCAAAATGCCGTTGTAGCTGCATTTTTTTTGTTTCTCATTTTATTTTTTTTTTTACATTTGACTGTCGATAAATAATTGCTGTACATTTCTAAAGGGTTTCAGAAGCATAAAGAACAACGGCATCAAAAAA